CCAAGTGGAAAGCATTTTCACTTTGTAGTGTCTTTCCTGAGAGGACAGCGGTGAGCAGTAGCTGCTTATACATGTGTGACCACAGTTGACTGCAGAGAGTGCAGAGGCACTACTGCAGCAGCAATATAGCAGCTTCTGCACCTCCAAATGTGACGCGGACAGCCTGCTGTCCCTGGGGTTTGAAGTGTTTGGCTTTTTTTTGTGGCCTGGTTTCTTTCACGGTTTTTCCATTTACTCTTCTTGTTGCACGTTGAAAGGTTTCTTCAAAACACGGTAGTCCCATGTTTCACTCCCAGGGCCTGTAATGTCTTTGAGCTTTCAGGAGAAAGGTCTATTTTGTTGACAGCCTCTCATTGCATCTAAAACCTTTCTTTCAAGCAGCAGCTGCACTCTGTCTGCCAACTGGTAGCCATAGAGGAAAGGGAACGAAAGCGATAAGCCAAGCTCCCATCTGCCCATGGTATGTGCTGGTTGGATCCTTTTGCAGGGCACCCGACTAAAGCCAGATCCACTCAAACATTACTGATGGGTTGCAAGTCTTTCGGGTAAGTCAATGGAACTGACTAGTGGCCAAATCAAGAGAAGGGAAAAGGAAGCTTAGAAAAATTCCTTCAGTAGTAGGAGCATTTTGTATACTTGAATTCTTCCACTTGGGTCATCTAAGTCTGTCCTACACATATTATCTTAAAAATGTCTCATGGCTGGATGCAGTTTAAGATTCAAGAAAAGATTTGGGACAATTCCTATTTAAACACAAACCAACTTGCTTAGTTTGGTAATCATCAGGCTTTCATACCACACAGCAAGGTTTTTTCAGGTTAGACACCCTTATTAAATTTTAAATATGTTGTAAGATCTCAGCCTTTAAGATTCCAGAGTTATGTTTTAGAATATAAACATGAGCAGACAGTAGTGACTTTGAGGTTAACTTTGTTACCCTGAGGCTAACTCAGACATGTTTATTAGCTGTGGGGCATTTTGCGAAAAAGAGATTAATTGTAGCAATATGCCTATTAATATTGGAGTAACACAGCCTGGCATGTTGGGATTCTTCGTTATATTCCTTCAGTTTACCTAGTACCTCCCAATAAGATACGGGGAAATGTTTCTGCTTTGCTGTTTGAGAGGATTTTTTTAGTGTTCTGGTGCCACCTATTGAATTCTTTTCAACTGCGTCCTATTTCATTGCTATAATAAATCATATAATAGAATAGAATCATAGAAGAGCAGGAGAGCTTTAAAATGCTTAGAAGGACATAAAACTGTCATGAAATTCTGTTAAAATGCCAGTGCTTATTTGGAGGGGAAAAAGGGTGATCTAGGACTTACAACGTTCCCAACTCTTTTAAGAAGTGTTCTGCTCTAGTTGGTGCTGGTCTGAGCAGGGCAGTTGGACTAGATGATCTCTTGAGGTCACTTCCAACCTCGAGTTCTGTGATTGTGTGTAACATTTAGCATCTGTCACTGTGAGTGACCATAAACCTCACGCTGTATTTAAGCTAGTAGCATTATTCCTAACTTTACAAGGGAGAGCATGGGGAAAACGGGTTTCACAGGAATCTTAAGGAAGGGAATGAGGCAATCGGAAATACAACGCTGTGACAAGCTTAGGAGCCCTGTTTTGCTCATGTGATCTTACTTCACTTGCAAGAGGGAATCTTCAAGCATGTCCTTTTGCCTCCATCATGTTTGCATTAGATGTAAGTAAATAGCCTGAAAAGTATTTCTAAATGTCTTGCGAATCTCTGAGCAGAGTTTAATTTAGGACTTTTTCTGCAACTCCTTTTATTCTTTTCTTGGAATCAGTTATTGAAGTGATAGTTAATCTGAGTAGATGCTCACAGAAAGTTAATTTTGGGCTTGAGGTATACTTAATGTGCTGAACTAAAGTAAGATTTGGGAAGGAGGGGAAATAATTGATTCTTCAGCTGATAAGCCAGTTAAAGAAAGAAAAATTGTATTATGGAATTTAGAGTGACCAGCTGCCAGCTTTCAAACACTGAATTTAAAAATCATGAAGATACACTGAAAATGGATTGCTCATGGCAAATATGAATGTTAGCTTTTACAAGATTCCTTGGCAGTTTAGTGTCTACAGTTAGATTATACAATTACTGTTAAAAAATGTTCCAGTCCTTACTAGAGATTTCTGATGCTGAAGTTACATCAATAGTTCAAAAGATCATCTATATTTTTGTTTCTTATCTGTAACATCTCTCAGGTAAGGAAGCTTCATCTGCTAACATTCTGTAGCTCAGAAAATTGTACGTGGTCCTGTGTTTCAGTGGAGATATATAGGTATAAATGAGTTAACACACTAGAGCTCTTAATATAGTGTCTTCTAAGCCCATGTTATCCAGTCTGTGGTCAGTCTACTACATTTTTTACAGTTTATATTCTTACAATTAAGAGCAATTTTACTTTGACAGTTTCATAACATTTCAGACAAACTAGATGCAGGCCCAGATCCTCATCTTATGAATCAGATTTTAGGCAATGCCCCTCCCCACTTCTGTAAAGAATGAAATAGCTTGCTTTGCACTACTATTTTTAGCTGAGCTTCATTTGACTTCTATTGATACTTTTTCTTTAAAATATCACACTACTGGCTTTTTCCAAATTTTAATTTGTAGGAAGCGATCTTGAATAGTGTACAGTCCGCAACAAATTTAACTACTCACTAGAAAAGTACTTACAAGATTTTAGCTTTTGTTGACATTCATTTTTATATCATGGTTTACACACATTTCATGACAGTTCTGAGCATAAAGAAATTGCTTGCTCTCCACAGGTGACTGTTGTCACTGGTTGGGGTTTTTTAATGGTTATTTTCAGTCTTCTAAACTGTCCGTATGGGGTGCAGAATCCATGGTGGCTGTTGAACAGCCACCACGAATGCTTCTGCTTGTCGGGTCGATAAGGAGAAAATCTTTGGAGTCCCAGGAGATCTGCCTATGTTGATCTTCTGTGTCAGAGATGACAGATGTGGTTTTGACACTGGCACATGAACAGGGCAACGGAACATGCCTTCATAAGCATTGCAGTTTTTCACATAAACCTGGATTTTTATTTTAAAGATGAAAGGAGTTTATTTTCAAAAGAGCAGAGCTACAACAGTTGTGAAGTACCATGTAGGGAAGCTGAAGTAACAGAGAAATTATAAACAGTGAACTAGTATTTGAAAAACAAGCATGCCAAGAAAAAAAATCCAGGAAAGAAACGTAGTGGGAAAGAACTAGTAGATAAAGGTATGAAAGTTTGTGGACAGTCACAGCAAGGAATGTGAGAACAAGTGAGTTTGTTTCTTGCTGAAAGCCTAGCAGTCTGTGGTAGAGAGAGACATCCTAAGGGAACAGGGATACTTTTGGGATGGCTTTCAGTATTCTTCTGTCAAAGTGGAAGCCTCTAGTCCTCAAAATGAGTAAAAGATTCAGTGATGAGAACAAACTTGTGGTTCCAGCCATTGCCATTTATTTTTGCCCCTCTTTCTTGCAGCAAAAATTTTACATTACACAAATACAAAGGGTTTTTGAGTCAGGATTTCAAAGCAGAGTGTAAAAATGAGGCTTGTTTTTATAGATGTGCAAAGATCATAGCTCCCAACTGAAGTCAGGAGGTAATTTATAAACTGGAGATGTTATTTGTAGAGGTTCTTAAATATCAGCAGGATGGTCCAGGAAGGGCGCTGCCATTTAGAAATTAGTATTAGGGAAAGTAAATGGCTTTCAGGAATGTCAAGGCTTGGCTTTCCAGCTCTTGCGCAGTGAGGATTATAGACAGGATTTCTCTTGACAACAGATTTAGTGTTGGTATCTCTTCTTAGTAATGAAGTCATTTTTCGTTCAGCAAAAAGTCACCCTCTATTTGTTGTTATTGTTTGTAATTGTATACACTGCTATGTGATGATGTGAAAGACTTTGAGGGTTTTAGCTTTTGGTATTGCACAACACATTGATAAACCTGAAAACATTTAAGTATCCTCCAGTCAAATCTGTCCTGAGAAATGTGTTTCAGACAAAGCTGTACAAACCATTAACCTTTTTCTACTATAGATGAATGCCTCACCTTCATGCATTACTCACCTGGTGATATTTTTTCCCCACTGTGCAGCAGGAGATGAAAATCTGGCAACTGCCAGCTCTCCTTCCTCTGTGTCACCTCCACCTGCATGCTCCATATCACCCTCACCTCCAGGCACCACTGAAGGTAACAGTGAATTTGGGACAGCAGCATTGCTGCTCTGCTGTTTCAGCTGAACTGGCATCTAGCGCAGCCTTCCTGATGCTGTCTCCACCCCTCAGGCTGCACAGCACAGACTCTTGGCTCAAGGAAAAGTGATATCTAACGAGGACAATATCAGTCCACGTATCACATGCTTGATAGTTTGGGGGTCTGGTTGCTGCTCCATGCCACTAAATATTACTTACGATTGTGTAATTCTCTGGGGAAAGCTCAGCTGATAGCTAGGAGGAAGGAATTTTTCGTGTTATATTTTTGGCATATGGTCGTGTTTAATTCCTTGAAAGTTTAATTTACATTTCTCTCCCTCTTTCTCTTTTTAAGGAGATGAGTCAGCAGTGACTACACCTGGTAAGAAACTTTTAATTTACATGACAGAATTGCATTGATGTTTTTTTCTGATCATTTCTTCTTTCCTTTTCGTTCTCACGGTTGTCTCATGGAGTGTGTAATGCCTTTTCATTCAGCCCAATGAAATGAAATATGCTGTCTTAAGAGACAAGAATACCAGACAAGTCTGGTTTTGAGTCATGAATTTGAGTATATTTTAAACCAGAGCATTTAGCATGAAAGAGGTGCAGTCAGTGCCAAAAAGGATTATACTTACTGGATGTTCAGCTGACACCTGTTGGGCCTCCTAACACCTTGAGTATTCAGTGTGCCTTTGCTTGCTAACAAATTCACAGTGCCTCAGTACAAGACCGCTCCAGCACACCAGTTCTCTGTGGTGTGCAGCTTTGTGTCCCTCCTTGACCGGGCAGCCTCCGAAACATTAATGTAACTGCTGTACTTCTCACCACAGGTGTCTCTCCTGCAGACAGCACATACCTCTCCACGCATGCAAGCTCCATCCCTTCCATGGGAATCAGCAACCCACCACGCAGCAGCACTGCTGCCCTCACCACACGCACTCCCATTGCCTTCGAGAATGCTTCGTCAGGTTTGCCATCTTTCTTCAGATGCCACTCACTGCTCTCTGAACTGTAGGGGATAATTAATTAATCACTGTAGGGGATAACTAAATAATTCAGCTTCACGGTAGCCTTTTCCAGCTTATGGTTCATCAAATAGAAAAGGTATCTGTAATTTGGTGTAGTGGCAATACCAGAATTATTTCGAGTACCTGGTATCTGATGGCCAAGTCTTGTAGTCATCACACTAGTACCAAAAAGCCAGCTGCTGTCAATGAGGCTGTTGCCAAAGCAAGAGCAATAGGAATGGGCCTAAAAGAGAAAGTAGAAACCTGTCAGTGGTTTATAAGCAGGGAGATAAATACTGAGCTATAATAAGTAATATAGCGCAAGATATGTGATCTAGCAAGCAAACACTACTGGAATGCTTGTTTCTGAAAGGGCACAAAGGCTATTCATAACTGTGTTTTACTGTAAGAACATAGCAAAAGGTTTTTGTTTTTCCCAGTTCACAATTTTTAATGCCATTTTTATGTTGACTTCATCCTAGATTATGCCAAAACAATGAAAAAAAAAATAGCCCTCGTGCATTGCAAAATTCATTAGTAAATGGTATATTCGTTACAGCTTGCTTTCTGTTTAAATACTGATTTTCTGTTTTATTGGATGTATTAACATGATTTTTCTTTCAGCACTTTTCTCTAAATTTCAAAACTCCCAGCAGAAAAAAAAAAAGCGGAGAAGGGCTGTAGTGTAAGACATTTTTGATGACATAGCCATATGAAATAATTAATTTTACTTTTTGATGCTGATATGTTGTTTATTTCCTTACAGATGATTACAATTCAACATCCTTGCACAGCACCATCTCACCAGTCAGCATGCCAGCAAACACTGGGATCATCCCCACTCACACAATAGGTGACAAACTTGCACACAGTTATCGCCAAGCACAGAAAATCTGTTCGAATGAGGGAATTAAATTTGAATTTCTTTGATCAAACTTCAGCATACAAATTAGGCATGCAACTCCATTAGACTTAAGAGTGTTTTTAGGAATCTTATTAATAGTTTACGAGTAACATTAAGGATATCAGCAAATGAAAAATAGAAATTATTTCCAGACAGTGGTGTAGGAGGAGGGTACATCTGTTAATTACTGTGTCAGTACTCCTCTTAATATTCACAGAAGTTTGCCTAAGCAGCAAAAAAATATGAATACAACCACAGATCTGTGTGCTACTGTGTTTTCTGGTGGCTTCCCTTTTGTTCCACTCCGCAATAACATTTTTTTTGGGATCTAGTATTGCAAACAGTCACACACGTTATTATTGCAATTGCGCTGCAAGGAATTACTCAGGTCAGTAAAATAAGTGTGTGTGCTTGAGCAAAGCACATCCAGGAGTTGGACTCTTACCGTCTTTGTAACTGCCCTTCAAGTAGCTGTAGGCTGCTGTCAGCTCTTTGACAGACTGAGTTTAGCTTTTACTTGTGGGTCTTCTGCCCCGAACCAGCTTGGTAACTCTCCACTGGACCCTCACAGATTGCTCTATCATTAGGTGCAGTACTCAGCCAGATGACTCCAAGCTTGGAGGGATGAAAATCTAGGGCCTGTCTTCTATGAAAAGAATTAGATATCAGTCTGTCTTGGTAATACTTCTACCACAGTATATTTTAGGTAATTGTTTTCAGATTAAGTTCTTAAGCTTCTGTACAGGTTTTCTAAATATCAGCTCATAATTTCCTGTGGGTATTTCAGTGTAAAAATAGCTGTAAAATGATCTGTACTTTTGCATAAATCTCTTTCCAAAGGTAAGAGTAGCTGTGCAAAAAGCACGTAAATTTTGTTTCTTTAGTGACATTGAATACTGTTCATTTCACTATTCCACAGCATATGTGTCCTAGGAAACCTATAGTTTATCGTACCACTGTAAGAATGTGTGATTTTGGAATATTCTTGTGTGACTTTGTATGCAGAAATATTATTAATAACCAGTTTGGTCTGTTGTCAGTGATGTCATTGTAAATGATGAAAGACACATGCTCCCTTAAATAACTAGTTAAAAAATGGGATGATGTGTAGCTGATGTTTTCTTCCCTTTTTCAAATGAGTAGCATGCTAAATGTAATTATTTGGTTTGAATATGTTTAATGAATGGGCAGTACCAGTCATCGTTCTCTAATGCTCTGTTAAAAAAAAATGCAAACCTGCTGAGCTACACCTTAATTTTTGTTTTCTTTTCTTATAGGAACTCCCACAATGACAACTGAAGAACCTTGTGGTAAGAACCAAACCCTTTATTTTTTGCAGTCCTGAAATTTGACCAAATCAGTAAACTTAAATACAGAAAACCTATCAGTGGAACAGATCAGTTATCATCTCAGGTTATTTTATAAACTGTCTTCCATTTCTGAAAGAGTGGGATTAAAGTTATTAACATTTCTGGTCTTCTCATCTTCATTTATAGTTCAGTAAAATTACCCTGCACTAGGCTGTTGATATCAGGGCTGCAGAAAAAAGATCTGGCTTCATTCCACTAGTCCTTCTCTAATTTTATCCCATCATGCTGGCAATCACATGCTGTTAATTGCAGTTCATAACTGAATTAAAACTAAATTTTGGACATTGGTTTACCTCATCAGAATTAGAGACCTCTCCTTTCTAATTCTCAGGAATAGACTATAGCCTTTATTTACTAGATGGTTATGAAATGCTTTGAATAAGAAAATTTGATATTTCTGTCCAGACAAATGATTCAATGTGTCAAAATCAAGTATTTCACGTTGAACTGGCATTTTAAATTAAAGCAGATCTATTTGTGAAACGTTTATCTTTTTAATTCTTTAGTTTTCCTAACTAGGGAATTATTTAAAAGAATATTCTCCTAAGGAAATTTTCTGTTATAATTAAACAAGTTTTAGAAGTAAAAGATAAATAAATAAAAAAAGAATAAGAAGCAGCTAATTTTACTGTATTTTCTGATTCTTAAAAGAAATATGGTGCTGGGAGTGCTATAAAAAATTTAATGGCTCTTAAAAATTGTCATAAAATCATTGTTTGTCATTTTATCTTTTTCTTTCAGATGATGATTTTAACTACATCATAGAAAGTGTAAAAGATGACAATAACATGGCTAAAGTTACACTGAAAAATCTCAGAAAAAACAGAAAATATTTTATTTCACATGTTAACGTGATGTTCAATGTGAATTCCAGTACCTATATAATAAACCTTCACAGATGCATGCGATACACAATTAAAGTTAAAAATTGTGCAGACAAGTATCTTACTATTCCACCTGGTAGGTATAGAAGGGTTTTATTAGTTTCTTTTTTCTTTTTTTTTGACATGCAGTAATTCGCCTTTCTTGGATTTATTAGTCTATTCTTGTCTCTTTTGAGAGATTCAGACAGAAGGTTTTCATACTTTTTCTTAAAATACGATGTAAAAAAATATAGTTTTCTCATTGTAAAGGAAAAAAGGTAACTTTACATTGGCCATATGCAGCATGGTTAGCAATAGCAAGACCAGCCAGCACTTGAAAGTTACTGTTTATGCTGGATGTTGTGTTCACTAAAGAGATTGTTGGATTAAAAATTTCATTTGTTATTTGAATACTAGCATTGTCTTTGCCTTGTGTAGGCTTTTCAATTTTTACTTTCCATTTCCTGTGATATTCTTTGTGTATTATTCTATGCCAATTTTATCTTCATATTGCAGAATAAGTCAACATATATAAAAGAACAAATTGCTATTTAAAGAATCAATACAGCTGACGTCACAGTGACTTATAATGCTAATCCTTTTCAGAGACCAGTGAGAATCCTTTCAAAGTTGGGAAAGAAACCAGCACATCTGCAGAGTTATGTTGGGATAAGTCACTGGCCTGTGCTAATGTGACTGTTAGCTGTAACAGTAAGACACTTTTAAGATATTTTTAAAATTTATTTATTTATGTATTTATTTTAAAAGCAATGTTGATGTTGTCTTTTGATGAGAAACTGGAAGATTGAAATTAATTGTGCCAGTATGAGGGAAGGGCTGTTCAGAATTTCGGGGATCACCAGTCTGGGGACTACTGTCCCCACACACTGCACAGCTGGGGTAGGTTCAAACCCTGAAAGCTCATTTCCTGAGCTTACCAGCTTCACAAACTGCAGACTTCTGAAGATTTTGAGGTCCTGCTTAATGGTCTGAAGGGGAGTGGCAAGTTTGGAAATCCTGCAGTCTATGGGTCTGCTGTGAGCTGATTCCTTGCAGATTACCTGGGTCTGCAGGCTCCTGGATGGCGAGAGTCCAGGAAATCTGCTCTTGGACTCTTGGAGCCTGCCAGCCTGAGCAGATGCTGGTTCGAAGGCAGCTAGTGCGGTAGGGAAGATGTGGATGCTGGATGTCCTCAACTGTCCCAGAAAAATGCACGATGAATGTCCTCAGCTGTCCCAGAAAAATGCATGATGAGTGTCTGGGGCTGGAGATCATAGAATCATACAAACATTAAGGTTGGAAAGGGAGCTGAAGAGCCAAGAAGCCACTCCAAGGTTTTGTCAGACTCCCATGAAAGTTTTGATTCCTGTGGGAAAACTGTCTAATGATATGAGCTTTACTGATGAAAAGATCTATGCAAACTGAATTAGTATGAAAGAACCTAAAACCTAGTAATTGGATTAGGTTGTACAGTATTCTGTTTGGAATATTATGATAGTTTATTACAAATTATATTGAATAAATATGGTAGAGAAAATCCCAGTTAAAATGGTACTACGTACTTTTGGAGTTGTGAAAAATATTGGTAAAACTCTTTTTGTGTCTACAGATGAAACACCCATTACAGTATTCAATGAAGCTTGTAGAAATCTGAGCACTTTATCACCCAACAAAAAGTACAACTGCACTGGTAACCTAAGTTTTTTTGAAAAGAAGGTTGTCGTTGAAAGCTTCATCATAACCACAGATTATGGCAGTAAGTGTAATGCTTATTTTTGCTTTATGTTCCATATATTTCTGGAAAACCCTACTATCAGTCCCACTATCTGTGTTTCCTGGGGTTGAAGAGGTATTTTGAGCAGCATGCTCAGCTGCTCTCAGATTCTCCTCCAGCTCTTCCCGCCTGGCCTCCTGCCCTTATGGTTGTTCTTTGACTGCAATCACAGTCTTCCTTTCCTACTCCAGCCCCAGCCTTTGAGAAGGTGGCCAAATGTAAGGAAATTTCAATGAAGATTAAAAAAGAAAGTGCAGGCCTAGTCAAAAAAGAGTGTTAAATTCTCAATTTGAAGAAAGATGCAATAGAATAATTGCAAAGAATGTCTCCAGATAAAATTATATGTTTTTCCAAAACAACATCTCTGGGAATAGCTTAGCTTTTTTTTCTGAATTAAAAATGAAATCAAACTAATTCAAGTAACCTGCAAATAAAAATTCAGGCCAAGTATTTAGTTTGTTCAAATTATAAGGAAATTCAAACAACGTGTAATATTTGGAAATGTCAGACAATTTTAGTAATATGTGACATTGCTGTATTCACCTTGTCCTGAATTAATTAAATCTATTAAATTAATATGATGCCTTTACATAAACTCAGTTTATACTTATGTATAATTTCTTTGAATGAAATAAGACTACAAAAATGTTATATGTCTTTGGTATCTTGCTTTAGTAAGCAATGAAATTCAGTCAAAGTAGGTAAAAAGAGGAATATTTTGCGTTTTCATTGAAACATTTCCTTCCGTCCCCGTTATTTTTCTTTTACAACAGCTCCAGAAGCACCAGAAAACCTTACAGTATTTTCTGATGCCAAAAATGTAACAGTTAGATGGAATAAACCTAGTGACACTTCAAAGGGTCCTATAGATGGCTATCACGTGACATGCAATGGCACAAGTAAGTATATGCCCCTTCAGTACGGAATAATTCATTGCATGTTTTGATGTTTACAGAGCACCAAGCATGATGCACTGTCACACCATACTAGAATCTCTTCAAACTGTGCAGAATTTTTTTTTTTGGTACAAATGTTTAAGTTTCTTTCCTTTCAGAGAGTTTCAGTTGAACCATGTGGTTATTCGGTTTACCATTTCAGAACACAGCTCTGTGACCCTTCAGTTTTCATGCTTCTTGTTTTAAGTTACGACAGTTGCCTGATCAGTTTTTAGCATGGTGCTCTGTTTCAGAAAATGCTGCTATAGCTGGCAATGTATTATCTAAGATGACAGGGACCTGCCTTCTTAGTAATAATAATGTATGTAAAAGTCAAGAGTCTTAAGCATGGCAGTTAGCATATACATGTTTAGATAGGCAAAGCCAGGTGGTTGGCTTCTAATAAATGGTCACTCCTTCTAGATAGGCTGGTTTATGCACCTTACATTTAGATGGATAAGTCTGTATCCGTTATACTGGGACCATGTTTTCCAGGTGTCAGCTTTTCTTCAAAACAAGGACTGGAGAATGATGTTTTGAAAATGAAGAGCCTGGTACATGATTCCAGGAAATGTATGTCAGGTTTAAGCTAGTCCTGGGTTAATTAATTCATTCTGTTCACATACTGCAGGTTTTGTAAACCTGGACTGCCATGGTAAACAAAGGCTGTCATGCTCATGTGCTCCCCAGATACAAATCTCTCCCATTCTTCATGCCCCAAATTTGACCACTACCCAAAAGGGTGACAGCCCCATGCGCCAGTTTCTGTGATTGGTCTGGCTTGGCCAGTGTAGGAGACCAAGGTAGTATGCTGAGGTGTGGGGAGGTCACATCTGAAGCAGCCAGAAGGACACATGGAAAGGCCATTGCTCCCCAGTTCCCCAAGCCACCAAAGCCCCAGCTGCAGTGTGGGTAATAGCTTTGCTCCTGTTGCTTCCCATGCTGATCCTTTCTGTCGTACTTGCCACCACTGAAAGCACACAACATCTCTTGCCTCATACCAGAACAGACATCCAATGTGCAGAGTGACTTCTGACATCTGCTTACTAATGCCTTCCCAAGCTGAACACAGAAATGTTGTCCTCTCTTTATCAATATGTGCTTTATGTTAGTTTTTAATTGCACTCATTTAAATGACATACTGAGAAACTAAAAAACAAACCAGAACAAAACCTCAACTTTCTATCTTTTTGAAGAAGGACATGCAACTGTTGGAGCGGGTCCAAAGGAGGGCTACAAAAATGATCCAAGGGCTGGAGCACCTCTCCTATGAGGACAGGCTGAGAGAGTTGGGCTTTTTCAGCCTGGAGAAGAGAAGGCTGCAGGGAGACCTGATTGCAGCATTTCAGTACTTAAAGGGAGCCTATAGGAAAGATGGGGACAATCTTTTTAGTAGAGACAACAGTGACAGGGACGAGGGGTAATGGTTTTAAACTAAAACAGGGTAGGTTTAGGCTGGATATAAGGAAGAAATTCTTTACAGTGAGGGTGGTGAAACACTGGAACGGGTTGCCCAGAGAGGTAGTGGAGGTCCCATCCCTGGAAACATTCAAGACCAGGTTGGACAGGGCTCTGAGCAGCCTGATCTAGTTAGTGGTGTCCCTGCTCGCTGCAGGGGGGTTGGACTAGATGACCTCTAGGGGTCCCTTCCAACCCAAAACTTTCTATGATTCTATGAGTCTATGATTTCTTCATCTTCTTGAGCCTTCACTTAGCATTAGTAAGCAAGATAAACCATCCAAGTACAAGGAAATTAAAATAGAAGTACACATGACGGTGGTTTCAGATACCACTGATGAAGTGTAAGAGTTCTCGTGCTTCTAACACAAATTTCATTAATTAATCTAATTTTTCATTTTTTCTTGAAGAGACAGCAATTGAGCATACGACTACCTTCATGTGCCACGATCTAAAACCTTACACCAAAGGTTCTGTGTCTGTGACTCCATTTACGAACAGCAAATATAGTAATATATCACTTCTGGGAAGAACTGAAACATATACCTTTACAACCAAATCAGCAGGTAAGTCTCTTTTTTGCTAACTGTTATGAGCAAGGCTGATACTAACATAGGGAATACGTACTTTCTTATTGTACCTTATTATACTTTATATATATCATTACTACTATCCAAGAAACTAATTAAAAGAATTTTATCAACATTCATATCATTAGTGTTTCTTAATTACTTAATAATAATCTAGTTTCTATTAAGCATTTATTATTAGTATTCTTATATATACTAGATTTATTTTAAAATTTTCTGCATTCATTTGAAATTCTTGACAAGATTTTTAGAAAGCATTATGTCCTAATCTAAAGAAAAGATTCAAATTAAACAAAAAGAGAATGAAAAACATTCATTTTTAATTTGTGGCATGGAAGCTACAAATACGTGCACAACATACCTTCTGTTCTGTAGTTGGCCGTTTGCAGAAAGCAGACCTGCATTACCCAGGCTACAACAATACCAATGTCTGTACCGGGTTTCGGTTAGTTTGGATGTACACGTGTGCAGATGGCTTTTAAGACTCCATATTAGGTTAAAGCCAAATGTGTGTCAACCCTTGTGCTGACAGAAAGGTCTGCTCATCTTTTTGGGGCTATGCTTTCAAAAGTTTAACCCCGTGGTCCTGGTTCTTTGTTTGCCATACATGTTCAATTGATAGAACTACAATAAAAGCTGAAAAAAATCCAGCCCCAAACCAACAGACTTTGCAGATATTTTCCTGATGGAGGAAAGGCATAATAGAGACGCAGTCCTTTCTATTTTGTTGGGGTTTTTTTCCCCCTTTTAATCGTCAGATATAGAGCATCCTACTGTTTTAGTTCCTTTTTTTGAGAAAAATAAAACAAAACAAAATGAAAACAACCCAAAAAACCATGTGTATCTAATTTCTTCCAGTACCTTTTTATTTCTAGTTCCACCACCCCCAGGCTCAGCTAATGTAGAGATACAGCTATAGGGAAATCATAATGATTTATACCTGGTAAGACACTAAATTGGTATTTCCTTTAATTTCACTGATTAAGCAAAAGATTTTGTTTTTAGTGAAAAATAAAATATTATTTTTGTGCTAGTGAGGTAATCATTGTTTAAAGTGGTGATTCCTCCCCCACCCCCAATAGCAGGAATAATTAAATCTTTTGTTGCTATTAGTACTTCTGAAAAGTATGCAGAAATATATATATAAGAGCATTAAATCTGACTGCTGTTTTTATTAAATCTGTTAGCTTTGGGAAATACAGGGGCTTCTGGCAGACTGTTGTTTTGAATTAGAACCCTATCCCTCTGTAGACTATACAGAGCTTTTGTGTCTTGTTTTACAGGCAATCCATGAAAACCTTGGAATCTCCCTATTATTCTGTGTCATTGAGCTAACAAATTTTAGTTTATACTTTAAAGAATACTGGCATCAAAATTATCATCTGAAGCCCCATGGAAAAAAAAAGATGATAAATGAATTAATAATGTAAACCATTTGATCTGAGGTTTAACTGTAACAGAAATTAAAAAACGTTGTTAATTTTAGACAGCCCTAATTTGAGCATGATCATGATTTTTCTCTCTATGATAATCTAGTTTGAGCGTATTACATTTTCAGCCCTCACTTTCTGGGGCTTCACTCACTTTTTAATAACTCAGGTGAAGAGTACAGTCCACAAGATAAGTTTATGGGTCTTGAAAACAACTTCAGTTCCCTAATTTTTTTGAGAAAATAACAAATTGCTTGCCGTCATGAATTAAAATATTTATTAAACCTTCTCCAACTATTGCAACAGTTGGTAACATGATCAAGCAGATAGTGGAAGTGCTTTTTATGGCTTCTCGAACAAGAGAATACACCAGCAGAGCATAACTCCTTGGAAGCAGAAAAACCCTACATTTTATCAAATGGATTTCATTTTCAACAAACACTTTGCCTCTAGAAATTTTTGCTCCCTCCTTGTCACAGCTCTTTCAGTAGTAAGCTGAATAGGAATCGAATAAACCTGCTCTGTGGATAAAAATCAGCAGACATGTTGTAACGCACACTCAGCCAGGTAAAATATCCTGCCACTCCCCACCTGGGATATTTGACCTGCTCATAAAGCCTTACATATCTTAGCTCTTCACATCAAGAAAAAAAGCTACTGCCATTTACTTTTTTTTTTTTTTTTAATATGCTAGCTTGCAAATTGAAGTGGTTTTGAAGAAAATTTCCATGGTGCTGTTGTACTGAAATGTGGCTAATGGAGCTGCCTTATGCAGAAGGTTGTGTACTTTCTAAAAGGTTCTATAAGCTCTCAATGAAAGGTCCCTTGGCTGTGCCCCCAGTCTGAAACCCATTTGTTACAACATACAAAATTAGAGTTAGAAAACACAGATCAGACTTAGCAGATTCCTTAGCATTAAAAAGTAATAGGGTTCAGTGGTTTTAGGCCACCTTTAAGACAATGTGACACTTTAAGCAAGAAGATAGTATTCCAAATATTAAAATATACTAGTAACTCCTGGTAGGAAATTTTATTTACAGAGGTTCTGAAACATGCGCTCAGACCAAAAACTGTTTGTTCCACTGTCTTGTCTGTTGTCCAATGTTCCTCAAATGGGAAAGTGATATCAGATGTAAGAGAGAGAGTTGCCATCATATTATCTTTGCAGCCTGACTGCCAGTAGAGCTCTGATCTTCTGCGACCTTTCAGTGCCACTTCACATCTTTTCCCGATTCGGATAAGCCTATGGTTAACTCAAAACTGATTTTATTTGTCTTGTTAAATTGGGACCGAAATTTTTAAGGAAGAAAATGTATGAAATTATTAGAAGATAACAGACAGACATGAACACATACAGCTGTTGAAATGTTTTGTATGAGATGATGAGACACTTCTTTTGTGAACAGAACCAGAGCCAGTGATTGAAGTTAATGCAATATTGACAGCTGATAATGCTGTCCAAATTCGGTGCAAAGGTCAACAAGTGTATGGAGCAAAAACAGTGTTTGAACTGAGATGGGAAAATGATGGAACATGTAACAAGAAAGAGAATTCTTGTGATTTTAAGAGAGAAAATCTCTTGTACTTGACAGACTATACATTTACGGTAAGTAGGCTTATTTAAATATATAAAATATTGCTTTATTTTCATAGTTTAAGCATACTATACTTGATTTTAGGAAAAAGGCAGATATGGTCCGGAGGAGTTAATCTGTGGATCTGTAGGCCACAGATGTAAAGAAGTGGCTGTTTCTTTGGAAATAAAATGCATATGTGCCTAGCCTATCAATCAGTCCCTTGTGTGTTATTCCACATAGGTTCTGACAGCACGAAAAATACAAGCTGAATATAGTGTTTGTACTTGATACAGAGAGAAATTCTGGGGGTTCCGTAAGTTTTAGTTTCTAAAGTATAACCTATATTTTGGTGTTTAAAACATGTTTGGTTTAATGAATGTGTGACTGTCATTTCCATCAGAGGATAAATATGGGATTGAAGTCTTGAGATAACTGCTCAGAAATAAGTCGTTCAGAATTTTTCACTGTGAAGATTTTTGATGCTTCAGGGACTAGTTAGTGTAAAGCAGTTCAGATCCTTTTGCATGTCCTTACATCAGCCTTTTACAAGCCAGTCCTTGTTTCCATACAAAATGTATCATCCTCTGTTCACAGGCTTCACTTTCGTGAAGGCCTCCTTCTGTCTTCTCTTCTTTCCAGCATTTCACCCTTTTGGCTTTTGTTGCTCGCAAAGCCGACGGTCTTGTGTGATCCCCTTAATGTGGCCAGTAGGAATATTTTTTTATATCCTGATATCTTCTCTCATTAAAGTTTAGGTAAGAGGGTAACCAGTAGGAATGATGGAGTTGTATTACTTTTAGGAACCAGTTTCACTCATTTTCCACAATCTTTTCCTCTTTTCTCTGTGTCTTCCTGAGGAAATGCAGTATCAGAGAACTTGAGTAGTCTATCTCTTGTTCCAAGGCTTTGTCAGTATTTTTCTGACAAATTGTGCTCGGAAGCCTTTGTATTTGGAAAATAAAGACGAGGTCCTGTAGGAGCAAAAGGTGCTGGCATTGCCGCCATAGTATGAGACCGTGCAGTCTTGTAAGCTTTTTGTACACCACTTGCAGTGAGAAGTTTGCCTTACGGAAGAAATTGACTTCTGCTTGGCTCTAAACCCTAGCTTCTGCTTCAAACTTTTTTTGCCCAATTCTTGCTGGAAAAACGGAGAAAGCCTTCTGACCTTAATTAGTAACTAAAGGATTCTGGATCAAGTTATGGAGGCTCAGTGAAAAAAACAGATCACGTGTGAGAGCTGGTGGATGTCACCATTCCCTTCTGTCTGGACACTGTCTCGTTCAGGGAATGAACAGGAGCCTGCCCAGCATGCTTCTTGGTTTAGTGATGTTTTGACCCCCACTACTGCGCTAGATTTCCGACTTTCACTATTTGAGAAGCTTCTTGCTTTCTTTTTCTGCCACCTCTGCTACTCCTCTGGATGTTGCCACCTACCATGGCTGTCTTCCCAGCGGCAGAAATCAGAAACCACCAACCCCCTGAACACATCTGCCTGTTAGAGCAGAGAGTGGAAGCCAAGGCACAGTCATCTGAGTCTTCTGGAGAGGTTTCTCTTAAGGGACCGAGCAGGCTCAGTAAGAACTCAGCCTGCAGTCAGCAGTGGTGCTGAAAGCCCTTCTCCTCCCCTTTTGGATGATTTGCAGCAGGAGAATATTACTATTAAAATCACTGTTATTCAATCCTGTTAGTATTCTCCGCCATTTAGTATTACGTCTTTAATTCTAAGACAAATTTTTCTTCACAAGTGTGAAATATTTGATGTACAAACTTCAAGCTGCCTAGTAGATTAAGGAAATTTAAATGATTGGATAGATGTAAAATGTATTATGAAATACAAACACATCTAAACAAAGTTAGTATTTTAACACCAGTTAAAGTACCCAAAAGTTAGTGTTACAACAAAGCAGCTTATTTGAAAGCTTCTTTTAGCTTCTAAAATGTAACCATTTATGAATTACTTCCCATACAGGAGCTTGTGTTAAAAATACCCAATTAAGTTGACTATTTGTATATTTACTGTTGAAGCAAATAAAATAATGGTGTTTTATTGTATGTTGCGTGGTTATTTTTCAGATTTGAGAGATTCGATTTTGATTTGATGGGAGTGAAATTTGATTTTTTTCCCTGAGATACAACTGATTTTGATTTTGTAAAATGTATCTCCTATTTCACTAACTTTTTTTTCCAGTTATCTAGATATTTTTGATCTAGATCTTGCTGTAACTTAGATGGAAACCTGAGCTGCACTATAAGTGGCTATAGAAAGATTGACAGCAGATCCTGCTGTCAGTGAGGTTGATTCATTGAACATAGATGGAAGTGTTTCAAATATCCATTGTGCTTTGCTTTTTAGTAAAATTTTATGCAGAAATTTTTGCTTGTTATATCTTAATGTCTCTATTATTCTCACCCACTGCGTGCAGATCTTGGTGTTTAATGGAGAGCACAGAGTGCAGCCAGTAAAGCAGAGTATAAGAACCAGATGTAAGTAAATATATATATACAACATTTTTACTTTTAGACTTTAGCATAGTGTAGAGTAATAATTCAAACTGTGAATTCCATTACAATTGCTCCTAGTTAAAAATCCAGACTGCCTGTTTTTATAGTTAATAGTTGATCTGCATTTGAAAAAATAGTATCCTCATTCAGCATTCATGTGACAGATCATGATGACAAGTCATTGACCGTAATTGAGAATTATTACACAGCTGTTGTTTCTTTAGAAAACATTCAAATGCAACTAGAAATTCATTTCTATAACTTAAATTGTCCACTTTAGAATTATTTTCCTGTGTTCAGATCCTGTGTTTCAGGAGCTGAACACCTGTGACTTGTCAGGGATTCGCAGATTGGGAGCAGCTGAGAGCTCCACTGCTCAGGTGTACAGGTCACTCAAAGCAGGAGACAGCCATGGTAATGCCGAACCAGTGAGTTACAGCATTATGACAGATGGACACGGAGAGTTTAAGTAGAAGTTTTCTTAATAAAGAAATTGAATTCTCTCCTTTTCTGTGAGCTTAAAAGCTTTGGCACTTTGGAAAAACAAACTTAAACTAAACACTTAAAAATATTTGTTTTGTTCTCCTCAAAAAAATAAAAAATCAGTGAGCCCTGGTTCTAGGAACTATACAGACCAAAAAAAATAAAGGAAAATAAGTAATTTTTAAATGCCATTAATTAGGTATTCAAGAAATAATAAATGGGTTTTTTTCTGTTGCTAGATAATTCTAAAGCCCTGATTATATTTTTGGCATTCTTGATCGTTGTGACATCAATTGCTTTACTGCTGGTTCTGTACAAAATCTACGATCTTCACAAAAAAAAGCTTAGGTAAGGTTCATGTTTCTCTCCCTTTCTTGTAGAAATGGGGCAGGGGGTGGCTCTCTGTTTTTCCACCAGATATCCCAATGGATGGTGCAATAATTTTACAAATTTGGTATTTCATTAATACTGGGAAAAGAGGTACTTTTACCTTTTAATCCTTTCAAAAGAAACTCACATTTTAGTGGCTTGTCTGTAAATGCAAACATAATGAAATAGGTTCAAAATCTGTCTACTATACCCTTTCTCAGGGCACAGAAGAACCGGTCTGCTAGAATAAATTATTTTGTCACTAGTTTTGTGAAAAAATGTTCACAAATGTCTGGAAAACCTTTCCTTCATGTTTTAAGTTAATGGTTTAAGATGGTTGGACTTGGTGATCTTAGAGGTCTTTTCCAACCTATGATTCCATGATTCTAAGTTAAATGTAATGAAAATAATATGCACTTTTTGGGAAATGTTTCAAATGCTTATTCACCCAAATATCTCAGGGAGGCTTTGCTTATTCTAGGCTTCTCTAGGTGACTTGGCAGTTCTGTAGGACCGCGGATGGCGAGAGAAGAATGGTCATTGCCTTCCATGATGACTGTGCCAAAGCCCTGGAAAGCCAGGCTGACTGCTGCAATTGCTGTGAAGGGAGGTGGTGCAGTGTGTGAGGGGGCATTTGCTGCTGGTAGAGACAGAGGAGTTAGGGCAATTTCTTCAGAAACCTCTCATCCCTCTGGTAACAGCAGAACTTGGGAACGTGTTGCTTCCAACCCCTTTCCCCCACAACTCTTCCCCTTATGGGGACAGGGAGCCTCTCTTGCTCAGATGAGAACTTTTACGCTTAGGGAAGCAAAACTAATTTTTGCTTGTACAGCTCCAGAGAGTCTGTCTTGTTCTTGGCTACTTCGCATTTAAGCTTAATTTCATTGTATTTTATGTAGGTGTTAGTATTTTGTCACTTATTTAGCAAGAGAAACAAAGATGGTGTGAGCAGTCACTCCAGTGAACAAATTTAAGACATGTTTTCTGCAGGTGATGTGGACAAAATCATGGAAGCGGTAAAGCTGTTTGATGGGGTTCCCTTGTTTTTCCCCCTCAATAGTCCTCAAAGTAGGAAAATCAAGATCCCAACTACCTCTGCGTAGGGCCTGGAAGTTCCCGTTGCAGCACTTGTGTTTCGCAGAGAGCTTGTAATGCAGCCTGCTGGTTATGAAAAGTTTGGGTGTTCACCTACTAAACTGCTTTTATTTAACTCATTATCATAGATACGTCTTACTAGTCAAAGCTTTTACAGATGCTTTTGCTTCTTACAGCAATTCTTCTGAAGGCGTGAACCTTGTTGCAGGTGAGTATCATTATATATTTAGCAAAAGGTAATAAAATTAGTCACGTCTTGTTGCCACCTTTGGATTGTTTATATTCCAGGTTGTATACCTAGATTACAGATATCAGCATGATAACACCTTATTTGAAGAAAAAAAATACTTCAGTAAATACATGGCAGAAGTATTTATACTTAAATGAACTGAAAGTTTATCATTGTTTGAAAAATTCTTATTTATTATTTAATTACAAACCCAATTTTGTTATCCCAGATGAATGTTGTGATATCTTTAAGCCTGAGAGTAAGTCCAGAATCATATACAGCTTCAACCACAAGTTCCCTTTCCTTTGCATCTTTTTCAAAGCAAGGATTTAAGCATAAACCAGTCGGGTTTTAGTGCAAAATTTTGAAGGCTTTCAAATCCCCGGACACAGAAACCAAACATTATGTGCAGCTTGAGATTTCAAAGCCTGTGAGGAAAGACAGAATCATTGAATACCAGAAAGCTTCAGGAAAAAAACAATTACAGCATTCAAGCCCACAGAAATTATCTACACTAAATGGGAAGTATTCAAAGACATTTGCCTAGACACACAGCTGTAAAAAAAAAAAAAAAAGTCTTTTCAATGTAAATGAAAATGAATAAAAGTCTAGTTAGAGATGTTAAAACTTGTTCAATCATTACTTGATCATTAAAGAAGATATAGATTATAGCAACTCAGAGAATAAGTTGGAGAAAATTTGGAAAAGTAGGCAATGCGTGTTGTTAACATTTGTAGGCTGTCTACACAGTAATCCATTTTACCACTGACGATAAATGTTCAGAATTGAAGTAGAGGGCAAAGCCGTGTAACTGTTGTGGGTGTTGGGGCTGTTGCTGTGACCTGAATGTCACAATCACCACTTCTGTACAAGGTGCTGTTGATGTCCCTGCACCTGGCCTCCTCCCGAGGTGTCTCCAGTCAGGCAGCAGAGCTGAGCAAGTTCTGTTATTCCCAGGGCCTGTTTGCTCACGGCTGGCTCGGGCAACACCTTTTTTTTTGAAAATAAACATGCTTAGTTAAAATGAAGAAGTTTGTCCTTTCATTACTTTATCTCACAATTCAAGAATCACATTTACTGAAATATATTTTACATTTTCAAAGTCAGTAACAATAAATGTTGAATGTATTTACACAGTTAAAGATGATGACAGGCAACTTCTGAACATAGAGCCAATACCTTCAGAGCAATTGCTGGACATGTACAAGAGGAAGATTGCTGATGAAGGAAGACTTTTCTTGGATGAATTTCAGGTTTGTCATTGGTTTGAAATATACCACAAATTTGTAGCCAAGTGGTTGGAAAAATTCTGTTCAAGAGCATGTTTGAAGTATATCCACTGGTTATAAATAAATAAAAAACCAAGAATCTGGAAAACTGGGTGAATTCTCATCTAAGATCAATCAGGCTTGCATTAATTTTGCTGCCAAGCTCTCTCTATTACAAGATGATGGTACTTTTTCTTTTCCTGAAGGTGTTTTTCAGCAAAAGTATAAAATACAGTGCAAATATTTCTCATTCTAGAGTACCTTTTACTGCATGTTTTTAATACTCTCCCTTACTGCATAGCCATGGGGATATACATACTATATAACTGTCGAGATATATATTATTTATATTAAGGGAAAACAAATTTATTTATTTTAGATACAAGAAATACATGTACTGTATGAAACAGAATGTTATCTTCCAGAGTCAGTATACCAAATTTTTTCCATATGCATTTGACTGTAAGTAAAGCTACTTTAAATACATGCTTATCTAATAAAGAAAAATTTTATTTTACAGAGCATTCCTAGAATTTTCAGTAAGTTTTCAATAAAGGAAGCTAAAAAAAGCCATAATCAGAACAAAAACCGTTACATTGATATCCTTCCATGTGAGTATTTGTTACAATTTCTCCATGTTTTATAAATATTTTTCTCAGTGCCTTCAGATAATGTAATTATTCTGTTTTAAATGATTGAACAGATGATCATAACCGTGTTGAACTCTCAGAGATCCAAGGAGACCCAGGATCAGACTATATCAATGCAAGTTATATTGATGTGAGTAACTTCTACTTTTAAGAAATCTTACGCACAATTGAAGAAATTCTGTAGTCTGTAGGTTTCATGTATCGAACAACTTTGAGGATTTCCATTTGAGTTCCTTTCAGCTCTATAAGGTGTTCAGTATTGCTGGACTGTTGCATATTGCATTTGTTTTTAAAGTTGCGAATCTTTTAAGTTGTTCATGCTTCCTTTGTATAAGTTGATAACACTGTACTTTTTATAGGGCTTCAAGGAACCAAGAAAATACATTGCTGCACAAGGTAATTTTTAAACTTTAAAGTACATACTTTCGTTATTCACCTAGTTTTGTTAAAGAGTAGTAAAAAAGTATTATTGAATTTAAAGAAAAATTGAAAATCTGACATTTTAATATTTAGTATGAAAAAGTTGCCAATGAGTTTTTGCTTAGGGAATTTTATGAAGATGAATAAATTGTAATTCAAAGGCAGATTTCTCCTGATGTATAATTTTACACCAGTTTTCAGGTTTCACAGATATGCACTAAAGATATGTATGAGACTTTCAAAATGTTGTAGCCTAATCGCAGCAGTCGTAATGAAATTAAGTGTGTGGCTGTTATTTGTGTGATCTCTGGTTAGCTTGTCAGATTGCATGGCTAAGCATGTCAAGAAGGCAAGTTTTTTTTCATGTAGCCACATTCTGAAAAAAAACCTTAAAATATCTTCTGCTAGGCCCCAAGGATGAAACCACAGATGATTTCTGGAGAATGATCTGGGAACAGAAAGCAACAATTATTGTCATGGTGACTCGCTGCGAGGAAGGGAAGAGGGTGAGAAATATCGATCCATCCTTCTGTCCATCCATCCTTCTGTCCATCCATCTTTCCATCCTTCTTTTTTCTGAAAACAGAATGGGTTGCTGTGCTGTGGTGAATTACATTTTCTTCTTCGTACTTTGTTTTCATTCTTTGGTGTTCTCTCATTGTGGCAGTACGGATGTTGGAAAGCAAGCCAAAACAGCGTTGCCTTATGGAACAACCAGGTTTATCAGAAAATGTCACCTTAGTCATAGCTGTAAGTAGCAGAGGATGAGCTTCCAAATTACAGCTAATAAATCCAGAAAAGGGCTCAAGGTAAAACTCTAGCTCCTCACAGGCCTGTCATAAGAGGTATGGTTTGTATTTCTCTCGTGTCTATTATCTTCTGATATCCTGGCAATGCCCTCAGTAAATCCTAGACAGAATACTTTTTTAATCCATTGTCTTTGCCCTTCCTTTAACTGGAAGGTTGGGTGCTTCTGGCTTGCTTTTTTTCCTTATTCCAGGTACAGCAGGAAGAAGGGGAGCTGCTGTTTTAACTACTTTTAAAGATGAAAAGGCTGGCAGCTTGCAGATTTACAGCATCCCCAGGTTGATATTATGGGCAGGCAGGAGCAACATCCCTCACTGAAGACTGAAAAGGAATCCATAGATGTAACTGCATACTTTTGTACAGCCTTCAGGCAACGGCAAGAGAAGCTGTTCACTTTTTCAACTAGTGTACAGGACATTTTCCCCACTTTATGTTCCAAGTTAAATTCCATGGGCATGAACTTCAGGTTAGAGACCTGAATTGCTGGATATATGGAATAGTGTGGCACTGGCGTCCTCAGTAGTGTCAACCTTTTCAGGAGAGGGCAAGACCCGTGAGAAGCTGGAAAAAGTATACAGAGTTGCTGTCTGTTTTAAATCGGACTTTCTTCTAGCTCTCGACTCTCTGCCACTTTGCTGTCGTACTGCTCACCTAACTTCTTATCTCCATAGAACAAATGTGCCCAGTACTGGCCATCAATGGAGAATGGCTCTGCAACGTATGGGGACATCATTGTGAAGATCAATGAAAGTAAAACATGTCCAGACTATGTCATTCAGAAATTACACATCACAAATGTAAGTTGATCTGAAAGTGCAAGACTGACTGGAATTAGAGTGTCTGTTTGGAGTCTGTTGGTATTGTTGAGAGATCCTTTTCAGTCAGCTATGAATGGAAGATCCTCTGCTGTTTTTCCCAAGCAACATATAGTTTAAGAGAAAACTTCTTAGATGTAGATGTCGTTCTTTACAAGAAATAAGGATTAGACGTATATTTCCCAATTTAAAAACGTATCTTCCTTAGTAGTCTGGAATCAACATTGAAGAGGAAACTGTTAATACGCTGTTAGATGTGGAAAGCTTAATTCACTGTGGTTTCCGTAGACATTTAGCTTGTTCTTTAACATAGAAATTTTACTGGTTTATGTGTATCTCAGCATAACCTTCTGCAAGTAAGATCAATGTGACCTGCAGAGCACCATTATCTACCCTTGTGATAACTGTACAGTGGGACAATTACAAAATCTGGTAATCTCAAGTGCACTTATAAACGTGTTTTAACATTACCATTTGGTATGTGTAGAATCATGAAGGTTGGTTAATTGCTTTCTTTTTATACATCTGAAATCACATTAGTTGCTCTGTGCATAATTAAGAACAAAATTTGCCATCTAAGGCTAAATGCTCCTCTTAGGCCCTTTGAGAAAATATTTCAGTAGGAGTAAATGGAGCGCAAGTCATAGGTAAAGGCATTTAGACTCAAAGAACAAATCTGCTGACAGATCTTCAGGAAAATAGTCAAGCAACAGATTCCACCCGTCTTGATCCACAATTACAGCTGGAAATTCCTATTCTGTTGTGTGCATTAAAATTTACCCAGGAAGTGGTCTGATTAAAAGAGTGTTGTAACTTAGTGTGAAGACAGTGAGAATATCAGAATGTTAAGAAATAACTGTTGACAAAGACATTGCTCTGTGACTAGAACAATCTGACACTAGAAATGAACAATTGCTGCAGGTTGAGGACTGGTATTTTTAGAACTGTCTGCTCTCTGGTAGGCTGACATTGTATTAATATAGGTAAAACTGGTATGGTTTGTGGAATTTAAGAGTGGTGCCTGGTGAGAAAGTGCAGAATTCTGAAGTTCTGGTGGAACAGTGATGAATGATTACTGAAACAATGGCAAATAATTGTATGAATAACTGTGCCATAATGGGATAATTCAACTTTGAGTAAGAATTTGGAGGTTATTTTAGCCATACTAAATCTTGGCCAGTAAAAGAATGACATCAAGATGTCTTTCTCATTTTGTTTTATAACCATGGTTATGAAAATGCATGTCCTCTCATTTAATCTAGCAGCAACATACGAAAGTAGGACTTGACATGCATCAAGCTTTAATCAAGTTACTTAAGAAAGTCTCATTGAGAACCATAGGTTTTCTTGTATCTACTTCTAAACAGTAGAAGTCTGAGTTGCAGTTTAAATTTCTTTCTTTTTTTAAAAAAAAAAACAACTCTGTTGTTCCTTCAGCAGATGACTCTTAGAAGACATAACACAGTTGTTACCGACCTGGGTCCCTTGAAGTAAGAAGAGATATACACTGGCCAAGTTGTTTATGAATAGAGTGGGGAGACGTATTATTCTCTAGATCATAAGCTAACCTGAGAAAAAAGTATTTTTAGCAATACTTTGAATCTCCTGCTTGTTCTCTGTTGGAGTCATTGTGTGTTCCTGATCCACAGATAATTTTTAATCAAAATTGAATATCAAAAGTGTTGTAACCTGAGAGACCATTGGAATTACAACATTACAGCACACGGTTTGAAATTTCTGTTTCAACATTTGATGACTGTTGCCTTTATTTTTCTTCTGCTTTGTATATCTGCACTTCATTTTGGCTCTGTATGTGTGTGTGTGTATATATATATATAAAAGATAAAAAACCCTCACACTTCACTTTGTGAAGGGAAGAGAAAGGACAGCTGGAAGAGATGTCACTCATATTCAGTTCACAAGCTGGCCAGACCATGGAGTCCCTGAGGATCCTCATCTCCTTCTCAAACTCCGACGCAGAGTTAACGCTCTCAGCAACTTTTTTAGTGGCCCAATAGTGGTTCATTGCAGGTAAAAAAATACTATTTTTTACAATTTTTGATAATGTTAAATGTACATGAAGTGAAGCTATTCAGAAAAGGGAGCTGGTAAAGGTATTTAGCTGATCCCAAATTTTGTGACTAGATTACTTGAGACTGAGGTGGTCAAAGATGCATAAAAAGGCCTGTTTTCTAAAGAATGTTCAGGTTGATAAAATCTGGGGATACATAGACTTTTGGATTTTGGAAAGCAGACAGATAAACATCGGGCTACTCTGGCTAGAGCCACCACGTTTGGCAATATTGGCCTTACTTGCATTAAAAGATATTTAAAATACAAACTCATCATTGTTTGTATTGCAAATTAATTTACAGCAAGAACTGTTTTCAGTTGCTTCATATCCCATTGTTACACATTTTCACTTTCGCTCTCTCCCTGACTTCTCACCTGTTAGAGTGGGACCGGGAGATGCCATTCCCTCTCGATAACCAAATCCCGTTGTGCTTTGCAGTGCTGGTGTTGGGCGCACCGGGACATATATAGGAATTGATGCCATGCTGGAGGGGCTGGATGCAGAAGGCAGAGTGGATGTCTATGGCTATGTTGTGAAGCTGCGTCGGCAGCGGTGTCTCATGGTTCAAGTAGAGGTATCTCACTAACACTCCTGTCACTTGAAGCTCTCCTTTGCTAGGGCTTCATCAGTATTTCTCAGAAGTGTGCTGCTCAGTCTTGGGTACTGCTGCAGTTCAGTTGAGGTTGTTCATAGAATGTATAGGTCTGAAAAATATTAAGAGAGAGAAAAACTTCCAACACAGTTTTTCACTTTTAGAAACTTCAATTTTTTAAGTTTAAGCTTTAAAAAAATAAGCCAAGAAGAACATTTTAGATTTGATAATCCAGTTTTTGGCATACAATTCACAAATGCAAAATTGAGCTTGCATAGCCAAACTTAATTTTCAAATTCTAGAAACTGTCTAGGTATGATATTCTGTTGAGTTGAGAGTACAATAAAAGTTACAGACAGATTCAATGTATGTTTTTAACCTACTTAAGCACTTTGCAGATCTTTCAAATCTCAGATACATATTTCTTGAATTACATTACATTTATTTGCAGAACACTTTTCATCCAACACACTAAATGGGCTCCAAAGTGTCGAATTTGGAAGCCACACTGATTTTTAATACTTCTATTTAATGCCTATTTAACATTAATACTTAGTGTTATTGTAACATCATGAGAGTAATAGCTTCTTACAATGGTTTTAAAAAGTGATTTTTTTTTCTCTTTAATCACTTCATTTTTAAACCCTTCAAACTGGAAACGTCAGTCGCAGTACATCCTTATCCATCAAGCGCTAGTGGAATACAATCAGTATGGCGAAACAGAGGTCAGTCTCTCTGAACTGCATTCCTACCTTAAGAATCTGAAAAGAAAAGATCCTCCATGTGATCCTTCTCTCCTGGAGGCAGAGTTTCAGGTAAATAAGTATTGCATCCTAGTGCCCCTCCCTCCCACTTACATTTGAAAGTGCCTTGCACAATAGTCATGAGATAGAGACACCACACATAATAGATCACTTCCGTGCTATTTTATTTCTCTGCCACAGAAACAGTTGCTTTACCTTCATGAAGAAGGATATAAATTAATGAAATTTTATTCCTGCTTTTGATGTTAGTATTTTTAACAAAGATGGGGAGCATAGAATGATTACTTGTGTCTATGTGATTGATTTCCTGTGGCATTGTACATGGTATAGCAGACATTTTTAAACTATGGTCCGGATGTGACCAAAGTTTAGAGAATTTAACGTTAAGAAGTGATACATTGGGAAATGAAGACTGGGTGTGGGTGTCCATAGGGGATGATGATCCCAGGAACCATTTTAATCAAGCATAATACCAATCATCCTCTTTCTTTAGAGATTACCTTCCTATAAGGGATGGCGGACACAGAACACTGGGAATCGTGAGGAACCTTCCCTTATTTTATCTGTAAGAAAACCTACTAAATTTTTAAAAAATGAAGACAGTAAATTACCTTACTGAGATGTATTTGATGGATTAATTTTCGCAACACTGTAAAATTAGAAACTTCAGATAGTGTTTTAAAAAAAAGAGATGAGTTTTTTAAAATGTGAATTATTGAGAGTGTCTAAGTTGTTTTCAAATCAAGCTGCCTTTGTTCTGCAATGTGTTGTGAAAGGACTGGCCTTTTTCTACCTATTTCCCCCCACCGCACATGCGGGGGCAGCCCCCCTCTAATGCTATGCCTGAGCAGAGTGTGACGTGATGGTGACGCTTTGTCTCATGCAGATGACTTTAACCGAGTGCCGATCAGGCATGAAGATGAATGTGGTAAGGAGGGTGAACATGATTCAGATGATTCTTCAGATGAGGACAGCGACTGTGAGGAATCAAGCAAATACATCAATGCTTCCTTCATAACTGTATGTATTGAGAGGATCCACAATTATATCCACAATATTTCACAAGCTTTCAGTTAAAACTATATTCTAGCTTGAGTTCTTATTCTCTTACTGGCTTTGCAAGTTGAATAGGTTTTACCTCGATAAGGGAGAAAGATCTGACAGTCAATTGGCAAATCCATTTATAGTTTTAATCAAGAAAATCTTCTACATTTTGTTACAGATGAGTCTTTTTCATGGATCTTACATGGTCTTAGACTGTACAATCTCACATAGTGAGACTAAACATAGAAACACTTTTTTTTTGCATGCATGTGTGTATTTTGTTAAAACTGCTAGCTTTCAGACTGGCCTCATGATAACACGTGTTTCTGTTAGTGGGCATGTGCCTAAGTACAAGTTAATCCATATTAATATTTCCCCTGTTAGGGAAATATGAGTATAGTTACTCAGATATACAAAACCCTACTAGTGAAAGTTGGGACCATCAGTTTTTTGGTATCATATATACCTCCAAAAGAAGGACAGCAGTTACTGGTTACTAATGAAGTAGCTGTTTTTAATGGAATTACTAGCTAAATTTGATTTATCTGAATCCTTTAAAATGCTGTACAGTTAGGATATCTATTCAGAGTAAATGTAGTTTCACTTTTGGGTAGTTTAGTGTGAACTGAATATTAAAAATTTCTTTTATAGGGCTACTGGGGTCCAAAAGCCATGATTGCAACACAGGGACCACTGCAGGAAACTATCGCTGACTTCTGGCAAATGGTCTTCCAAAGAAAAGTCAAAGTCATTGTCATGCTGACAGAGCTGAAAGAAGCAGATCAGGTGAGGCCATCACCTTCGCACTGACATATTAAGGTCCTCTATATGCAAAGAAAACACTGCACTCTCTCATTCCGTTCCTCCAGTTAAGCGTGTTTCACAGGATGTGGTATTTGGATTTCCAATATAATTTGTTCTATTATTTACCTTCTTAATTTATTTTCTAATGAATTTTTGAGGGGAAGAGTGTATGATGCTGTATTTTAAAATACAATGACATTCCTACTAGTTTAAATTCAACACATTCTGTAAGCGCATGTGGAAGATAAAATGACATTTGAGTGGTAAGCACTGTCTTGTACTTTTATCCATTTTAGGAACTCTGTGCACAGTACTGGGGAGAAGGAAAACAATTGTATGATGGCATGGAAGTTCAAATGACAGATGTCAACTGTTGTCCTAGCTATACCATACGTGCGTTTGATGTTACACATCTGAAGGTAAAAGTTTATTTGCAAATTCTAAAAGGAAGTTTTAAATTTGTTTCCCTGTTATAAACTTAGCCTAAAGAAAGAAATGGGACAGTTCCCACTGCACTGACCTCCTGCTCTAAGAAATGGAAATATTTTTCTCTTCCAGACCAGCAGCCAATCATGATAAATGCTATAAATTAAGTCAAATTTTCCCATTTATTGAATTGCTGAGGCGGTGGTAGTGGAGTCTCAGAAAGTCAGCTGTCTTTTTTACTTTGAGCAAATCTTGGATGTCTACCAACCTTGTTGGTTCATGAGGTAGAACTCGCATCACCATGCAGTTCCTCAGAAATATAATTTTTCTTTTGTAAATCATCTGCAATAATTGTACTATGTGAATCTTTATTTTAACCTGAACATCTACTACATCTCCACTGCTGTTTTTCAGACAAAAGAAACACAGAAGGTGTATCAGTATCAGTATCACAAGTGGTGTGGCTTGGATGTTCCAGAAAACCCCAAAGATTTAGTCAGCATGATTCTCAACCTTAAACAAAAAGTGCCAGCCAGACCAGCCACTGAGGACAACAGGAGTACCCGCAGTGTCCCGCTCGTCATCCACTGCCGGTGGGGTCCGAATTCAGCACATACCTTAACCTAGCTCTAAGTTCTGGATACATGTAGAAACCACAATTTTAGGATGCCTAACTTTTCCCACAAGCCTTTCCATGTGTCTGGAGACTCAGCTCTCCCTAGAAGATTCCTTGAATTGCTCAAGCTTGACCTTTTTGATTGTAGCACTGAAAAGTGAGCACGTTTCTCTTTGGCAAGTGTGGGCGTGGAGTAGGTGGTCAGAGCTAGCTGCTCTTGCATGGTACACTTATTTTGAGAAGAAATGTTAGGTACTAGTGCTCTTGTAGCATACTAGTAATGAGGATCCAGCAGAGCTTTTAGGTTCATCTCTTGCTCCAGTACATAAGACCACTTTTTTAGGACCGTTTCCAGGAATATCCTTGCATAACCACGTAAAACAGAGGATAATCCTGCTGACAATTGTTGAGACTGCAAGTCTGAAGCTTCTGATTTCTCTCTTACCCCTTAGGTGGCCACATGACAACCAGGTAGCTTCTAGAAAAACTATGTATTGTGTGCACCTACAGTTATTCTTAATTGTAACAATTTTCGTCCAGTAAAAAATGTTTCAGGAATATAATTCATTATGTAGACTGTGAAGTAAATCAAGCATTTAGTCAGAGGACTTGCTGATTTTGCATTTTAAATGTACATGTACCTTTTACATCATCTTCTAGTGATGGATCACAGCAGACTGGTGTATTTTGTGCTTTAATGACCCTCTTGGAAAGTGCAGAAATAGAAGAAGTAATAGATGTTTTCCAAGTAGTAAAAGCTCTTCGTCGCACCAGGCTGGGAGTGGTCTCCACCTTTGTAAGTAAATCTTATGAATTACCAGAAAAAGTTTTGAGATTACTTACCACGGTCACTAATATCCTCATAACCTTACACGTTATTTCTGCATAGGAACACTAATTCTAATCAGGACATTCACAGCCACTCAGTGCTGCTTGGGGATTGGCTGTCACTGATGAGAACGAAGGAGTCTATGAGATGTCCAGAGCTGCAGTTCTATAACACCTTTGTGGAAGGGTGCATATGACAGAATCACAAATTGCATAAATTGATACCTCAATGTCCAGATGGAGATCAGTGGTGGGTGATGTCCCTCAGGGGTCTGAATTGGGACCGGTGCTGTTTAATATCTTCATCAGACAGCAGGATCGAGGGCACCCTCAGCAAGTTTGCAGATGTTGCCAAGCTGAGTGGTGCAGTCGACACACCTGAGGGACGGGATGCCATCCAGAGGGACCTGGACAAGCCAGAGAAGTGGGCCTATGTGAACCTTATGAGGTTCAACAAGGTCAAGTGCAGGATCCTGCACAGGGATTGGGGCAACCCTTAGTATCAATACAGGCTGGGGGATGAAGGGGTTGAGAGCAGCCCTGCGGAGAAGGACTTGGGGGTACTGGGGGATGAAAAACTGGACATGAGTCACCAATGTATGCTCACAGCTCAGAAGGCCAACCGTATTCGGGGCTGCATCAAAACCAGCGCAGACAGCAGGTCAAGGGAGGGAATTCTGCCCCTCTACTCTGCTCTGGTGAGACCTCACCTGGAATACTGCATCCAGCTCTGGAGCACCCAGCACAGGACAGACATGGACCTGTTGGAGTGGGTCCAGAGGAGGGCCACAAAAATGATCCGAGGGCTGGAGCACCTCTCCTATGAGGACAGGCTGGGACAGTTGGGGTTGTTCAGCCTGGAGAAGAGAAGGCTGCGGGGAGACCTTAAAGCAGCCTTTCAGTACTCTAAGGGGGCTTATGAGAAAGATGGGGACAGGCTTTTTAGCAGGGCCTGTTGGGATAGGACAAGTGGCAATGATTTTAAACTAAAAGAGGGTAGATTCAGTCTGGATAGAAGGAAGAAATTCTTTACAATGAGGGTGCGAAAACACTGGAAGACATTGACCAGAGAGATGGTAGATGCCCCATCCCTAGAAACATTCAAGGCCAGGTTGGATGGGGCTCTGAGCAACCTGATCTAGTTGAAGATGTCCCTGCTCACTGCAGGGGTGTTGGACTAGATGAACTTTAAAGGCCCCTTCCAACCCAAACTGTTCTGTGATTCTATGAAGTTTCTGCAGTTGCTTCAGGGATACACATGTGCAGTGTCCTTAACTTCTGCAGAGTTAGGAGGCTAACCCCATTTCCCAGGTTAGCAGCCATCAACTTGTTTAAATCACTCCAGGGGAATTGTGTTTTTGTGGCATACACTGTGCATTTATTAATAAACCAGACGTAGCTGTCATCAATATGGGGCAGGTTATTAGAAGACTTTCCTAGACTCCTTACAATACGTGTTGTTTACAACTTAGGTATGCTAAAAAAACATATTTTTGGGACTTTGTGAACCAAGAGTGTACTGAGTGACTCAACTTGGAACGTCTGATGCAGGCAGTTACAGAGACATTACGTACACTTGAAGTCAGAATAAACCATAAAAGCAACACTCTGTATGCCAAAAACGGTGGAAGCTGCTTCATATGCACTCATGCGTATTCAACTACAGGTTACATTTCTGAAATTTAAGAGAACAGAGAAAGAATGGGTTTATTCTTGGGCTCTGAGCATTCCATTCATACTAACTTCTTCTCTCTCTTTATATTTAAGGAACATTACCAATTTCTGTACGACACCATTGCCAGTACCTACCCTGCACAGAATGGACAAATAAAGAAGAACAGCCAGCAGGAAGATCAAGTTGAATTTTGCAGTGAAGTAGAAAAATCAGATCAGGAAACTGATTTGATCACTATTGATCTTACCCCATCGACGCCAGCGGAAAATGAGCCTTCTGAAGTATGTGATGATTCTAAGGCTGCAGACAACTCTAAGGGAACAGAAAGCTCTACAAATGGCCCCACAACTCCAGTTCTAACTTAGAGGCTATACTAAAAAAAAAAGTGCTTTTTTATGTGCAAAAAAATCTTAAAACAAGAAGTATAAGATTTCTTCCTCTTCCCACCTCTTTTTTGGAAAACATTTACTTTTACATCAGTTTTTCAAAGGTACAATTTTAAAGAAATACTTGAAACTTATGGAGAATGACAAAGAACTGTGAAAGTTTAACTGTTGTGTAGATTTGCATTTAATGTGTCTTCAGAAACCTCTTCACTATTTTTATACTTTTTCTTTTAAAAATATGTACAGTGTAATATTATGTTGAGCAGTGGGAAGGAAATTTTTTTGCTTCTGTAACAAGGAGAAAAGCAACTCAGAACAACAAGATTAGGGTACTGAAAAAACAGGTTGGTCTTGAAAACTATTAGCGAGTAAATGAACCTAACTGGTAAGAATATAGTCGATTATTTCAGGAGTGCTGACCAAGCACTTCCTTAATAAAGAAATGGTACTTGTGGGACTTTGCCAAAGAGTTTTAAGAGCTTGTCATTTACATCATGTGGCAATTCCAAGGAATTCAGACTTATGGAAAATCTGTAAGTCCTCCCATATCAATGTGGAATAGAAATTTTTGCATTTTTCTAACTTGCCTCAAGGTGTCCTTGTTGCACCACATATATTAATCTGAGATTTCAATGTTAGACTCAAAGAAGAGTTTGGAGATTAGCATTTGAATGATTGCAACCATTCTGATAGAAAACCACTCTGTTTGCTCTTAGAGCTTAAAATACTGTGTGCTCGCACATCTGTTTCTTATGCTTACTCTTATTTAAAGGGACTTTTTCCACGAAGGCATCTGACCTGTTTTCAGGGTTGGAAAATACTTAGATGCTTTTCCTCCAAACCTTGTATATTTTGATTGGTACGGGATCTTTTTTTTTTCATTGTGAGACTTTGTTTGTTACAGTTGTGATATTTTTACCATTTCTTGCTGGATTTTAGCCTACTGTTTTTAGAAGAAATAAAAAAGATAATAGTTGACTAGAAGGTGTACATTATTTTGTTCTATTGGACTCTGCAGACTGATCACTTTCTTCTAAATGCACAAAATCTTGTGCTACCCCATACATGGATAAATTTTACAAATTTCAGTAAGAAAACACACCATCTAATTCTTATAAAACTGTGTGTGAATCCAGATAAGTGTCATGATTCTCTCACTACAGAGGAAGGAAACTTCACTTTTCTTTTGTTTGAAGTCGTTAAAGAAACAGTCACTCTACAGATTCAGTGCTCCTAGTTTATCACTGCATAGTCCTAATCTCTCTTTATGAAACATAACTGGAAATACTTAGAGGGCTGTGTAAACAACACGTACAGTCACACTTGGTTAAAACGCAGATTTAATTTTGCTGTTACTCTAGATCAAATGTTTCATTCACAATTATCAGCTCAGACAAGTGCTTCCTGGCAGTCTTGCTGGAATAATGGGCAGCAAACAGTCACAGAGGCAGCCGGATTCCACTTCACTGCCCCCCCCAACTGCCTTTTCGGCTGAAGTTGTGTTAGGTGACAAACTAACAAAGCTGAGGGGGTCGCCTCTGGAGAAAATACTTGTGAGACTAAATATAGTCTAATAGAAGATAATCTAAAAAAATTGTAGGCACAAAGCCTGTTGGCTATTTTTAGAGGAACATGTCAAAATTGCAAATTTAGCATACCTTTGCAGATCAGAAAGGATAAAGACCCTTGGATGCAGTTCAGCTCGCTGCTGCTCATTGAATGGCAGAGAACAATTAATTTCTTTTCCTCTTTCTAAGCTCTGGCCACTGTAAAGCCTCTTGAGGTCGGTGAAGCTACCTATAGTAAAAGTGTGGAGACAGACACTAGTCACACTTTTAGGAATAACTGCAAGTGTTTCCCAAATCAAAATTTAGGCCCAAATTTTCATTTTGTGTAAATCTGAGAGCACTCATACACTTCAATTCCTTAAAAAATCGTTCTGCAGGTTTTAAGCTCCTGCAGCACCTCAGCTGTAAAAATTCTAGAGGATTTTGTTTTGCTTAAATTGTTTTGTAGAATGATTTCAATGTTGTCTTGACTGCATATTTAAAAAAAATGCATGTCACGTTAACACTTGATTTGTGTGTGTATTTTGTCCTGAATTATGTTAAATTTTGCTTCATGCATATCTTCATTACTAGCCTGATCAGGGAAACAGAGCCTTACATTAAAACTGCCCTCACGTGCCTAGTGTAAACCATTTTTGGAGTAGTTCCTTATGGTCACAAGGGGGTAAAGTGAGTTCTTGGCTTTCAATTATTTTCAAATTAAATAACACTTTGTACAATTAAATCTCATTGAACCCCAGTGTGACAGCTGAGGATGCCTGCCTTAACATGGCTTAGAAGTTTTGATTGCTTCTAGCAACTCATTATGTATGTACCAGGGGTGGTTCTTTTCCTCTTCTATTGTCATTTGAATTTCAAAAATCCCCGAGGTGGTGACACTGAGCTTGTAGGAGGCGATCATTGTGCTGGATGCTCCATAGTCACCTGGCTTATTCACCTGTAGGTTTAATGTGCTGTCTCCCAGGAACGCAATGAGTGTTCGGTGCGGTACAGGTGAGGCGTGGAGCCCAGGCTGATAAGCTCTGCTAGGAAATTGCTCTGGCTTTGTTACGGCAAGAACAAGGTTGCAGCAGGCTGGAGACTTGGCATAGCCAAAAAGCTGAGAAACAGACATGCAAAGTAAGATGCAGATCATTTATTTTCTCAAGTAGAGCTAAGCTGCACAAAGACCATTAACCACTGCCTCTGGCTAAGATTTAGCTGTTGTTCAAAAGTGTTTTATAGTCTGAAGTCCAGGACAAAAATAACTAAGCAACAGATCGGCTGGGAGAGGGCTTTGAGCCACAAATGAGGGTTATCATGGGCTTGTGTGACCAAAGGGACTGGATTTCTCCCACAGTTTGCTGGGTAGAAACTGTTAGAAAAGTGCCAGTGCTGTGTTAGCGGAGCCCGGTGTGGGAGGATAGGGGACAGGAAGGATCCCCGAGCTCCATAAGATTCTGCTCGATAAGGTAACTGCAGTGGGGAATGAACTGTGTGTTTGCTTTTGCTTAGATTTTTATACATTTCTTGTGCTCCCTAATGAACAAGGTAGTTACATTAAAATCTTTTTCAGAGACTGTACATTATGAATATCAGCCACATCGTGATCGCTGAGATAAATGTTACACAACACAAAAAATGGCCAGCACACTGATCTTGCTCTAAACCCACCTGCTGGGCAGTAGCTGGTGGCCACACGCAGGAGCCCCAGGGGCCAGACCAGGCCTGGAGGGTCCCCACCTGCCCCACTGCTCACTGCGGCCATCAGGACATCACATGCAAGGGAAAGTTTGTCGGGGGAGTGAGGACAGCAGCGGGTTTCAAGCTCTGCTGCAAAAGAGGAAACCTGAGTTAAATCTCACGTGAGAGGCACAAGTAGAGCAAGTCTGTGACACATCACAGCATTGAAGCTAGGAGCTACAGAGGGAAGTAAATACTAACACAAGCCGATTGCTTGTGTGAGATAGCAAAGAAAGTAAGAAAAAATAGTGTCTCAAGACAGGTGTCTCATTAAGCTGGAGATTGCATCCTTTGTTTAACATTATTCAGAAAAACTCTGAGTAGCAATAAGTAGCAATGCTTATCTCTTCAGTGGGCATCTTGTTCTTGTAAAGGCCCAATTTTTTTGACATTGTACATTCTCCAGATTGCCTCTAAAAGAATGTCAGAAATTCCCCAAGGGCTCTATTTTCCACACGTAAAGCAACTCTTCGCCAAGAACCAGTGTGCTCTGTTTTAGACTAGGGAAAATCAAAACAGAAGAAAAGGAAGGTATGAATTGTAGTGTACAGCACATTTCTATATGCATCAGCTCTCCTTCAGAAAAAATGTAAGCCTTCTGAAGAAGAACAGAATCCAGCAATTATAAAGGTACAGCAACGTAGGAAGAAAGTTTTATACAAAAGCTTTATAAGTTAATCTTTCTTTTCAATGCAAATGAAAGGAAGATGATGACTGCAACAGTACGAGGCAAGTTTATACTGAAAGATCTACTTTGTAGGGACAAAATATAATTATTTAGGAAGGATAATTAGTAGAAGTTATTGTAAAGTATTAGTCACGTTTAAACCCTAGTGAAAGAAAGGGTTTTATTAAATAGATATGTCCTCAGACTCGGGATTGTCAGCATCAGCAACGCATAATGTTAAAGAATTTCTGAAATTAACATAATAAATATTTTTCAGAGAATAGGCATGTAGCTATTTACAGCTGGGTTATCTCTTGAATCCCACAGCTGCACACCACCACCATGGCTGGCAGTACTAATGTAGTCCTAAGTGTCACTGTCTAGCATACAGAGGCAAAAATAAAGAGGAGGTTTACTTTGTACCAATATTAGCACTCAGTATCAAATATTTGGTTTTGGAGATGAAACCTACTGGTAGGCTGAGCTTGCCTGGCAGCTAGCTGAGACACCGAGCTGGCACACACCAAGGCTCCACAGAGTCCTTGGGTGGACCTGGTGTACTTTCAGAGCTCACCCGCCAGGCTGTGCTGAGACTCTTCCAAGGCTGTCTGCGCTGGTCGGTGCGCTCCTGCAGTGCATCCCGCTTGCTCCATTTCAGTGACGCGGAGCCGTTGGAGGTAATGAAGATGACATTTGTTCATCCAGCACTGCAGAGACTGTGACTATCCAAGACCAATTTAGTTCAGAGTGAGAGAGTGTGTGTGTGTGTGCGCGTCAGTCATAGCCTTAAACCTGAGCTCACGCTCCCAACCAGAAACCCAGGAGTTGCTGACTTGGCAGCAGCTTGGCTTGAAAAAAGAAAAATAAGGAGAAACAGGGATGACATGGTGAGCCTGTGCTAACTTTGTGGGGCAATGCAGCACTGAGGCAATATTGAATTGTGTGGCTGGTAGGCTTTCTGAGAGCGTTTTTAAAAAATGAATTTGCAAAAAATAAACTACAGGTGAGGTACAGGAGACTGCACGGGTACAGAGCGCTCATGTTGTCACAGACTAAATTGGTGCTGGCATCAGTGGCTACTAAAAAATTATTTGTCTCCTCTCCTGCTGTTACAATAGAAGTCGATGTGTGTGTTCTTCAACCGCAGAGAAAAACGGTAAAAAACTGATAATAGAAAGTTGCCACTGGAAGACAGAGTCCTTGCCAAATGCAGACTTTTGGCAAGAAGTGTCAATTTTAATGTTTTTTTTTTTTTTTAAGAAAGAAATAATGAATCATTTTCATC